TCCCTGGGAGACCTGGGCTGTTGCATGTGGACTTCAGGGAATGTTCTGGACCAGGAGGAGAAGAGCCAGTTTGTGGGCACGGAAAGCCTGGCTCCTCCTGAGCACTTTCAGAGAAGGACGAGTCATCTCTTGGTGTCTGCAGGAGGCTGGCTCCACAGCCCTTACACAGAACGGCGCAGTGTGTGTGTGTGTAACCTACACACAGCCTCACGTCCTTTAAGTCACCTCTGGATCACAGTGATGCCCAGGACAGGGTAAATGCCACATAAATCCTTGCTGGGTTGCTTGGGAATAATCACTAGGAAAAGTCCATCCACGCTCAGGAGAGACGCATTTTTTCAAAAATTTATTTTCTATCTGCGGTTGGCTGAGTCAGCCAATGCGGACCGAGGGGACGGAAGGCCAGCTGTGCACAAACTGAGAGCCTTAGGCAACAGAGACTTCGCAGTCCCGCTGGGAGTCCTCGGCCAGTGTGGGCCTCCCAGGGCTATGAGAGGGTCAGCTCCAGGCTTCTCCTGGAGGTTCTAGAGATTTTCTGGCCAGCTTTTCTGTCCCTTGGCTTGTGGTATGTCTTGTCCCTCTCTGCCTTGATCTGCAGGTGACCTCTCTGTGCGTGCGTCTGTGGCCAAACGTGCTCTTGTATGAGGACACGGTCATATGGACCAGCCACCTTAATGACCTCATTTTAACCAGGTTCCATCTGCAGGGGCCCCACCCCCCGGTACCTCAGGCTGGGGGTCCACCACATGAGTTTGGGGGGCATGTTCATTTCAGAACAGCCAGGAAGGAGAGAGTAGTGCTGACCTCTGGCATGTCCGTCCTTCTGGAAGCTTCTGGAAGCTGGGACCCTGAAGAGGTCCAATACCTGAAGGGATGGACAGGTACCTAGAGAGGGATGGGCAGGCACCTAAAGAGGCCAGGTGGGCTGCTGCCCCCACCACTGCAGGGGGATGAGGTCAGTGGCTCTGGGCAGGGACTCTCTGTCTGCAAACAGGGCCACCTGGCTCTGCGTCTGTGGCAGTGTGTAGAGGGGGGCGGCCAAGCCTGGGTTTTCTGAACCCCCCTCTCCTGGAGCTCCTCTCTGTGGGGGATGCCTCGAGGGAAGGGCCTCGATATTGATCAGGTGTGTGTTGACACAACCTCGCACAGGACTTCAAGTGCTGGTCCTGCCTTTTCATGGCTGGGCCTTGGGCTAGTTGTCTGACCTCTCAAAACCCGTTTCGTGAATCTACCTACTTTCCAATGCTGTCATAAAGATTCCCGGGAGGAACCTTTGCAGGACAAGCTGCCTCTTGGCATCAGGCTGGGCGAACGGACAGCAGGGCCGCGCTGAGGTCGACTGGCCTCTTGACATCCCCTCCTTTTCGAGCTCAGCATCACTCGGATCCTCCTGGCCTTGGAAACAAATTCCAGCCCCTCAATTACTAGACATGGTCATGGACACCTCACTCCTGCCCTGACCCTTGATGTCTCAGGTATAAAACAGGGGAAGGAGGCCACTCCAAAGAAACTGACCTCTCCTGTGTAATAGTTTCACCCAGTGCCGGCCCCTGGTCCCTGCTCTCCTGCAGGTGGTGGCCAGCCAGCATTCAGATGCGCCAGCTGAGTGTGGGCCTGGCCCTGGTCACAGGTGGTGGGGGGTAGGGCTCCACAGCAATTGAACTTCCAGGCAAGGCCAGGGGCCTTTCTATTTTCACGTGGCACTTGGTGATGTCTTCACTGTGCTGGAGCAAGATAGGACCCCCCAGAGCAAGCATTTCCTACTCAGGGGCAAGTTGTGGTAGCAGGGAGCAAGGGTCCCCAGTCCTGGAGCAGCCCTGAGGGGGCTCTAGCTGGACCCCATTTGGACCAATCCAAGGGCCTCATGTCCTCCCTCTGCCCCTCTCCCCTGTGTCACCACTACTTCTCTCTCTTCCCTTCTTCAGCAAATAGAGCTGTCACTCTGCATCCGTGGGGGATAGGTTCCAGGAGCCAGGGCAGGTGCCAAAGCCCAGGGATAGCCAGTCCCTCCTATAAAGTGGAGTCATGTTTGCTAGGACCTGCCCACCTCCCATGTACTCCAGATCACCTCTAGACAATTCACAACAGGGAGACAACATCAATGCTGAGTAAATAGCTGTTCTACTCTGTCACTCAGAGGGTGATGACGAGAAAATAAAAGTCAGTGTACGTTCAACCCAGGGCAATTTTTTGAGTGTTTCGCATGCGCAGTCGGTTGTCTGCAGACATGGCACCGTGGGAACAGGGATCCTGTACTCAGGTCCACTGTGTGCCCACGCCTGCTCCAGCTGACCCAGAGGGAGCCTGTAAGACCGCCCCCTGGAGTCCCACTGTGGCCAGACTAGGAACGGAGGTGGGCAGAGAGCGAGGGGGCTGCAGCGGCCAGTCAGGGAAGGACCCCGGGTGGGGGTGAGGCAAGACGGGCAACCAGAAGTTCCCAGCCATGGTGCGTTCTGGAGGAAGGGCGGCGTTCCAGGTGGGAGCCGCAGAGGTGACTTGAGCCTGGGACATGTGGGACAAGTGCAAAGGCCAGTGTGGCCTCCACACAGAGCCAGGCCATCCTGGGCCTCTGCCTGAGCCTCCCCCCCCACCCTGTTTTCCTTCTCCAGACTCTTTCATGCCCAGCTCAGTGTCCCTGCATGAGAGGTGCCAGCTCTCCCTCCTCTTGTCCTCCATGGTGTCAGGGTCCCCACCACTGCAGCCTGGGCCTCTCAGCACTGTCACAAGCTGTGGACGCCCGTTTCCCCAACAGGACAGAACGGGAGCTCCCACCAGCCCAGCCTGTGACCTGATCACCTTGGTACCCCGAGCCCCTCGCAGGCCAGGCTCAGGCAGATGCGCAGTTAGCTCTTATTGGGTGAAATAAAGGTATGGAGGGCAGGGCCCCAGAAGGCCAGAGGAGAGACTGGCCAGGGAGGTGCTGCAGTCAGGGGGCTCCTGGAGAAGGGGCTGACCTGGGCCCAGCAGGGGAGAAGTCAGTGTAGGGCCCAGAGGAGGGTCCAGGGTGGACCAGGGCTGCTGTGGGAGGCTGGGTCAGCCGGAGAAGCCAGGGAGAAGAGGAAGGGCCGGTAAGCCCCCTTCCCAGCCTCAGTTTCCCCAACTGGACACTAGGATGTGAATCCCACTCCTCCGTGGTAAAGGAGGCCTCGGGTTTGGGGGTTTCAGGGTTCAGGCCTGGATGGTCCAGACCCTCCTCTGCCCACCATTTTGTACACCACGCCCAGGGCACCCTAGTGGGCGGACCCTCCAGGGCGACCGGTCTGCCCAGCGCTCCTTCAGAGGGAGCTCTGAGCTCAGCATGGGGTACAAGGGGTGGCCCCAGGGCTGGGTGGGTGGGGACCCTGGGCACCGCTCCCTCCCTCTCCCCTCCGACATGAGGAGCTGGAGACAGACTGATGCTGTCCCAGCAGGAGTCACCCCGTTTTTTGGCTGAGAAGCTCCCTGCTCGGGGGACGACTGGAGGCCGGTGTGCGAAGCCAGCCCTGGGGAGACCTGTGACCCAGGGACCGGCTTCCCCTCCTGGCGCACGGTCCAGCCCACCTGTCTGGGTCAGGTTCCCCAGCCGGCCAAGAGGCCACGCCTTCCCCGGGGTGGGCGGGCCAACCCTTCGCGTCGTGGGCTGTCCTCTGGGCAGGGATCAGACCCGCAGAGGCAGCCTGACCCCAAGACGCGCCCTCCCGAGGGCCCAGGTCCCGCCGTGCGTGCTGGATCCCGGGCAGAAAGGTGGTTTCTTGGGCATTTCCTTTAAAGGCAAAGCAGTGGATGAAGCTGAGGATCGTATTTCAGGGCCGCGCGGGCGGCAGGGGCAGCGCAGGCTCCGCCCGCCAGGGGGCCTCTGGAGGGGGGGGCTCAGGCTCCCACACAGCCGGCTAAGGCCAGTGCCCTGGCCCACCTCCTCCAGCCCAGGACAGCAGAGGAGGCTTGAGGTCCTAGGTCAAGGTCCTAGCAGCAAGATCTTGGGTCCCCAAGCCTCCCCACCTGTAAATGCAGAGGACATTTTTCACAAGGATATTTTGAAAACATTAAGCCAATTTGCCTCTTTCTCTCTACTCTGATGGAAGAAAGGAAAGGAGGGAGGGAGGGAGGGAGGGAGGGAGGGAGCAGGAGAAGGGAGAGGCTGAGATCTGGGGTGGGGGGGTAGTCACTCCACACAAACCCGCCTGAGAGTTAAGGAGCCCAGGGGGAGGGGCGGGGAGGGGTCCCCAGATGGAGGCCTCCCGGCTCCCAGGAAGTGTGGGCGGCAAGTGGAGACAGAATGAGGGTGACTCACGATCGCGACCCATTGTAACAGAGAACAGAAAGAAGCCCTCCCCCACCCCGTCCAAGCTAGGAATTTCTGGGCCCCTGTGAGCAGTTGGAGTGAGCCACACCCACCGACCCCGAGGAGGAGGCACTCAGCAACACAGGTGTCACACAATGCCACACATGCCAGGCCCCCAGAGCTGCTTTCAGCCACCAGTGGCTGGGCACACCCGCTAACCCTGGCCCAGCGGACCACCTGGCTCACCCCTCCACCGCCTTCTCCCTCCTGCCCCCCACCCTTCCTCTTCTGCATGTCTGGGGAGGCTATAGCTCCAGGTGCAGTTAGTGCCCCTGCCCCAGGGCCTTGCTCTGGACTTTGAGCCTCAGGGATCTGGCTAAGTGGCACTGTGCTGTCATCTCATGGAGCCCTGCCACGACCCTGCCAGGAGGGCCTGTTGCACTTGTGTCACACAGAGGGGGAGACTGAGGCTCAGAACCATGTCTTCTCACCCGTCTCCTTGCTCAGACTCCAGGGTCCCTGGAAGGAGGAGGTGAGTGGGCTTTCCAAGGTCAGGAGTCTGTCCCTGCACGACTGGTCTCTGAGACTCTGAGAGGCTGCTCTCGGTGGTGGAGAGCAAGTGCTGCTGAGCCGGGATCTGCCTTGGAGTTAGAGATAACGAACCCCTTTACAGATCTCAATTAATCTCAATTAAGTGAAACAAGTTGCCTGTAATCACAAAGCGAGAGAGAGCCAGAGACAGAATCTGAAACCACATCTGTGTAATGTCAGACTGTGCTCAGCGTAATCCTGTGCTCAAGTCCAGCTTCTCCCCTCGTAGGCTGTGTGGTCTTGCACAAGTCTCTTGACCTCTCTGTGCCTGAGTTTCTTCATCTGTTGAGTAATGATAGCACATTTCTGCCTTTTAAGTTAGTCCAGAGGATTAAACGAGGTAGTGTCTAAAGGGTGTCCCAGTAGGAATTTGGAGACTGTCCCTGACTCAGCTCCCATGAGTGATGGTAATAAAGGTCAATACAGTTGATTTCTCTGTGAGTTCCATTCTGCGTCTACAGATTCAACCAAACCCAGATAGAAAATATTTGCAAAATTAAATGATAATATAATAAAAAAGTATAACAATGATTTACACAGTTTTACATTGTATCAAGTGTTATAAGTCATCTAGAGATGATTTAAAGCATATGAAGTCTGTGTAGGTTCTATGCAAATTTATGCCATTTTATATAAGGGACTGGCACAGCCTCAGATTTTGGTGCCTGAGGGTCCTGGAGCCAGCCCCCAGGACACTGAGGGTGCTGTGTTTGACAGGCGGCCCAGTGCCCTCCATCCCCACCCCCACACAGCCACCTGGTTCTCCCCCCATTTTCTGGATGGGGGAACTGAGGCCTAGGGTCGTTCGGCCCAAGGCCATGGAGCCTGTATCAGGCAGAGGCCTGACTTTCCTGTGCTTTGACCCCACGCAAAGCTGCCCCCTGCACTGAGGCTGGGAGTGAGATCGCCTTGAGGCGGTGCAGAGGGGCTCAGTCCCCTGGCACAGTGGTGACCCATGGCAAGAACAAGAAGCATTGTTCCTTCTTCTCCCTTAGAAGATGCTTTGGTCCCTCATGTTAGCCAAATCGCAGAGGCCAGCTGAATTCATCAGGTTGGCTGAACCGTCAGGGACTGAAGCAAGTCCAATTGGTGTCAGGGAAAATCAAAGAGGTTCTGCCCCAGGGCCCGGCATTGTCTCTGCTTCTCTGCCCACTGGCCTAGTCTTCTTCTCCAACTCCAGGAGGCCAGAACTGGGCTCAGGGGCCCCAGGCCAGCACCCCGGTGGGGGGAGCAGCTTTCTCCTGGTAACTGTGGCTCAGTTTCAGGGAAGGGCTCTGATTGGTTGTTATTCGGTCATGTGCCCATTGGTTGGCCCAATCCTGCTGGCCAGCGGCTGGGGTATTTAAAGAGGCTAGCCCTCGGGCTGGGAGACCACCGTCTCTGACCACAGGGTTGAGGACCTTTGATGGACACGCAGCCAGAAACTTGGAGGCCAACGCGCCCTCCAGAACCGGCTCGGCGCTCTGTCCCCGGCGCACCCTCGCCCCAAACAGCGCCTTCCCGCCCGGGCTGGGGTTGCGCAACCGCTCGCTGCCCGCCCTGCTGGGCCCGCAGCG